TGTACAAATCATGTTATAAAACTTAGTACTTTGTGGTGAGTCCTTTTGACTTTAATAGAGCTTTGATACGCCTTGGCATACTATTTATGTACTTAGAAGTTAATGCTTTAACACCTGTATCTCGACACCAAACTTCATCAGTCATTCTGTGAGCTTTTGTTTACTTGTTATTATGTCAACACTGACTTTGCGTTTCAATCAAGAAGCTGTATACTCTCATTAGCAAGAAATGTCTTTATGGATTTTGCAGGATGACATGGAGCACCATCTTGCATAAAAGTTATTTTTTCCATATTTGGAAACCACTGTGGATCTGTGGAATCAGCAAAGTCTTTAGGACAGTCTTTACTATAGGACATTTTTTACTCTCTTGTTTCATTTTCCCTTGTACAATGTAAAGATGATCGGTACCCCTGCTTGATATGCATGACCAAACCATTATAGATGCTGGGTGCTTTACAGTGTTTACTATGCATTCTGGTTTGTGTTGTTCTTCTGGTCTGCGGCGCACAAACGTTGCTTTTTCTTTCAAAGTCTTAAAGGTAGATTCATCGCTGAATACAACCTTAATAAAGTAGTCAATATTGTCGTTTAATAATTTTTCAAACATTAGTAAATTTAATTGGGGTAATATTTATTCAAAAACATCTTTTGAAAACTTGTGACAATAAAATATACTTTGTTTAAGTGTATGGAGAGAACAAATATAAAATTTACCTTATTCCAGTCAATTTGAGAAAAAGAAGAGTATTTCTTAGCCCAAGCAAGGCGCTTTTTGATCATCGCAGGCGTAAGTTTCGGCTTCTTTAGTGGGTTTTTACACTTAAATCCTAACTCGTAACTTCTCCTTTTTAAAGATCCAAGTAAAATGTTGATGCCTTAGTCATTCAAAACGCTTTTTAGTTTTATTGCTGGCATCTTGCGATTTTGTTCAATAACTTTTTTGATTTTTCTGTCAACTCTAGCACTTGTTATTCTCTTTCGACACATGATTCTGTAACTGAATCGTGTGTCGAAACAACCACACTGACCTTTACTATTTGGCTCTAATTTGACCCCTATTTTGAGTTTGGAACTTATTCTTCTTACTGTAGCCTGCGAGACTTAGAACATTTTTGCAATATTCCTTTGGGTGCCATCTGTTTCTTGCAGAAGAACAGCTGCTTTAGCTAATTTACGTGGGGAAACATCACTTACTTTATCGATTATTAATCCTAAAACAAGCGAAATTCTCAATAACTTATTATGTGACTGCAGGATTTAAAAAAAAACTTAAAAACAACTAAAATTGCATTATTTTAGTTATAAAGACAACCTACAATAATATATGCCTCTAAAAATTACATAATTAGAGTTTTGACAAACAAAATCAATTGAAAGTTTTTAATTTTATATCAATAAAATTTACGATACCTTTTTATGAAGTTGAAAATATTTTTTTAAAGTATATATATTTTATAAATTTGCCTAATCTAAAACAAAAAATGAATGATAAGAAGTTAAATTACACATAAACAACAAAAAGTAAACAGCAATAACTTCTACCTATCAAAGAAAATCCAAAAATTAAGCAAAATCTGAAAGTTTTATTCTTGAGTCTAATAATTTGAGCAGGTACTGTAAATATATATATATATATATTATATATATATATATATATATATATATATATATATATATATATATATATATATATATATATATATATATATATATATATATTATTATTATTATTATGTATTTCGCCGATAAAAAAAAGTTTACATGTTTGTGCAATACAAATATATGGTACATAGCTGGGGCAAGAAGAAGACTAGTTCATCATCAAGCCCCTGTAAATAAAACTGTCAATATTAAAAATACAAAGCAAAGTAACTCGTTAAGTAAACATTAAATTAAACGTTGCCTTAAAATAAAATAACGTTAATTAAAATGTAACGTAAAGTAAAAAATAAAATAAAAATACATTTTGCACTATGTTAGAGTGTAATATATCCAAAAGTATAAGAAAATTTTCTTAATTAATTATTTTTTAATTAAATTCATTTTTCCTAACTGGTTTTAAATTTATTAACCTTTTGAATTTAAATCAAAAAATGACAGATAATACACGAATAACAAACAAAACCAAACGGTATATATATATATATATATATATATATATATATATATATATATATATATATATATATATATATATATATCATATATATATATATATATATATATATCATATATATATATATATATATATATATATAGTATATATATATATATATATATATATATATATATATATATATATATATATATATATATATATATATATATATATATATATATATATATATAAATATATATATATATATTATATATATATATTATATAATATATATATATATATATATATATATATATATATATATATATATATATATATATATATATATATATATATATATATATATATATATATATATATATATATACATATATATATACACTCTAAGAAAAAATCCGTTATATACAACGAATTGTATCTGTCGCTATTGCACTAACGGGAAATCCGTTAAGTTAACGAATTAAAATTTTAACGAATTGAAGTCCGTTAGGAATAGTCCGTTGAATTTACGGATTTATTTCGTTAGTGCAACGAATAATCCGTTAAAATTAAGGAGTTATTACACTAGGCAGCAAATTTTCCGCGGTTGTTATTCCTATGAAATAAATGTGTTAATAAGTTATTTTGGTGATTATTTCGTTAAAATCACTAAAATCTAAAATTAGAGAGGCCAGAATTGTGACTTCATAAATAAATAATCCTTATATTTGTTAATGTTTGCATTTTTATTTAATTGTATTATTTTATTTCGATATTCTACATTAAAACGTTTTAACTAAAAATTGAAAACTAATCAAATATTTATAATATTTAATCCAATATACTTTAAATTACAATAAAAATACATAAAAAAAAATTTAATACACTATACTCAAGCTAGTACATTTATATAAAAAGCACACATATATATAATAGATGTTTAAAATAAACCAATGCCAAGATAGTTTTTGGTCGCTAGTTTTGGTTTGATTGGTTTAAATAGGTTTTGGTTTTGAATACTGTTGTTACTCGTACACAGGTTCGCACTTTAAATCGGACACCATGCTGTCAACTCCTTAAAGATTAATATAAAATAAAATAAGGAAAATATGGAAACTTAATAACATACCTAGTATAGAACCAAAAGAAAATGTTATTGATAGCACTATAGAAAATGTTTTTGGTAATTCATTATATACAAATTTCTATTCTAAATTTTGTTATTTTAATTATCTCTGATATCGTTTTTTTAAAGATAAAGTTAAATGGAACAAGTAAATTATATCTTTATTAAAACGTAAATTAACAAAAAAGTATAAGATACCTTGATATTATCTGATAACTGAAAGACTCTATACATTTCACATACATCAATACCTATCAGGAGCAAAAAAATAAGTCTCTAACCTTTTAAAAACTATGATAAATCAAAACAAGATTAAATATGCAGACCATAAAAAACGCAAGTAACTATATAAAAAAAATTAATTTTACAACTTATTTAAACTTACAGTGTCATACCACTTGTCACATGTTTAAAATAGCTAATTCTAAAATAATCGAGAATATAGAATATAGAAGAATAATAGTTAAAAAAGTATGATATAAACTTAGTCTTAACTAAACTAAAAAGACATGCATGCCAAAAGAAATGCAAGTTAAAATACAATTTTTTTAAATTTACTAATTCAAACTTACAGTGGGATACCACATGCCACGTGTCTAAAACAGTAAATTTTTAATTATTATTATTATTATTAATAATTATTGAAACTCAACTAAATAAATATGCACGCCAATAGAAATGCAAGTTACAATATAAATTTTACAACCAATTTAAACTTACAGTATGACAGCTTATACCAAGTGTCTAAAATAGCAAATTCTGAAATAATATAAACAAGCCATACACAAACTTAGTTGTAATCTAATTATATAAACATGAACGTCAAAAGAAATGCAAGTTAAAATAAATTTTTTTTTAAATATACTAATTCAAACTTACAGTGGGATACCACATGCCACGTGTCTAAAACAGTAAATTCTAAAATAATACAAACACATCAGATATAAACTTAGATTAAACTCAACTAAATAAATATGCAAGTTACAATATAAATTCTACAACCAATTTAAACCTACAATGTGACACTAAATGCCACACCTCTAAAGCAGCAAATTCTAAGATAGTATAAATAAATAAACATGAATGTTAAAAGAAAAAGAAGTTCCAATATAAATTTTTTAATTTTACAACCAGTTTTAACTTACAGTGGGATAACAAATGCCATGTGTCTAAAACAAAAATTTCTAAAATAATACAAACACACCAGTATAATATTAGTTTATCATATTGGATGCCACATGTTTAATTTGGAAATTAATAAAAATTGCAATTTATAAAAGCAAATTAACTAGCCATGTAAACTTAGCTGTAATTAACCTAAATAAATATACCTATCAAAGATGTTAACATTTTTAATTTTACAACTGATTTAAACTAAAATGGTACTAATATGGTATGTTACTACATGTCATATGTCTAAAATATAAAGTTAAACAAGACTATAAATAATCCATTTAGTCTATATTATAGAAATAATTCTTCAACTAACCCTTTACTACTAGTAAAGGATTAGTTGAACTTTTACTTCTATAATAGAGACTATTTGGATTGCATATATTCTTGCATAATTTTCAAGATTTAGACATGTAGTAACTTACCATATATTATATGTATTAACTTACCATATAAGTTATTATATATTATTTAGTAATACTAATGGCTTTTAATTAATAAAATAAAATAATTAAAAATTAAAAAATAAAATAAACCTTATTGTTAAATTTTCTGCATAAAGCTTTATATAGAAAATTTAAAATGAGTTAAATAACCTTC